TTAATTACCAACGCCAACCTTGATTTACGCAAGTTCACAGTCCCAAGTCTTCGAGACCTGCTTGAAATGCCGCTCCACTCCCTCTCGCAGCCCTGTGCGCCCTCTCTGACCCCACCAAGCCTTGAGGCTTGGGCACCTGCAAAAAAGCAAAAAGAACATACAGACCTATGCAAAAATGTGCAAAGCACCGTGTGTAAGACATTGTCTGCGTTTTGGGGTGCTGAGGCTGGATTGCTTTTGTTTTAAATTACACTTTCTATTGTTGTGTTTTGGGGTCGGTGCACCTCCTGGGGCATAATTTGGGTGTTATTGGACCCACGCACCCCCAAATGCAAACATGCAACAAGTGCAATGCACCATATGTTCCTTGCATGTTGAAGTCCTCGCGTTGCTGGGGTTTCCGAATGCGAAACAACAAAACACTGCTTGTTTTGCATTTTTTTGGTATTCTCATATAGCATACTTGTTGAGGGCTTTGGCATTCCGGAGGTGGGGGTGGTGGAGTAGGTGAAGGTGGGGGGGTTAGGCTGGTGTGGGTGGAGGTGGTTGGGTCGGGGGGGTGCGTGCGGAGATGGATCAATTCAATTCATGCCGCGCTTGGTGCGCCATGCTGGGCGCTTGGTAGCTCGGAGATGCTAGCAGCAACCCCAGCAGGGACCCCTTTGCTTGCCTTTTTGTCTCTTTTGATCTGCACTTTTTGCAATGTTTTTTTGCAGTTTTTTTGCAATGATCTTGCAATTGCGATCTCGCAATATTGTCGCAACGTTCTTGCAGCGTTTGTGTGTGTGTGTGTTTTTTTTGGTGACGTGTTTTTTTTTGGCGTATCCGCAAGCAATTTCAAAACATTTTTTGCAATCAACGTTTTGTTTGCAAAGCATGCAAACACCGAATGCCAAAACAATGCGACCAACATACATTTGAATGCAACCGGAGTTATTGTTCTATTGTGCGTTTGTCCGTCTGTTGTGTTCTTCTGATCGTATACTTAAACCAAGGCTCCTGGACCCTGAACCTTACATTGCCCCGTGAACCCGAACTGCGCGAGCTTAAGCCTGGACTCGGAAATGCCAAGCCCGACCCCTTCAGCCTTAACTTAAACCCTACACTTTAAAACGTTACAGTAAATTGTACCTGAACCCCGAAACCTTGAGACCCTTTGGACCCGAGAGCCCACGCCCGAAGACTTTGAGTTCAAAAGCCGTACAGACTACTGGCCCCGAAAGCCCTTCAGAACCCAAGACCGTAAACCTTAGAAGACCGACGACAGCAAATCCCAGGAAACTAAACCCAACCGCCTAGACCCTCAACTGTAGATTTCCAAGCCCAACTTCAAGCCGAGCTCCCAGACCCTAAGCACAAACCCAAAACGTTCCGAAACCGAAAATCCTGAACCATAACACCTTACACCCTAAAGCCTCAATTTGCATTCCATTTCTAAACCTTGAGCCCTGTAAACGAAGTGTCCGTTCATTCGCTTCACCACCATTCAGATTTGCTGGCAAGGTATTCACATATTTGCTGGTTCCACGGCTAGATGCCACATGGTCCATTACCACGTGAAGGTGGTTGAAGTTGGTTTGTACGTCGACCAGCGAACCGCCATTCTCGAAATCAGTTTTGCCAGTGGCCTAAAACGTCATGGAGGTCGCAATCAGTAATGCATACGTACTTTCTGGCACAAGATGACAAATTCGTCAGATGTAAGCTTTGATGACAATGCGGGCTGTGTACAGACGAGACCAGGTAAAAAGATGGTTCGTTGATGATGATCGTCCAATGTTGTTTGAAATTGATATGATATTGCGATGTTGTTTTGGCGCAGCAGTTGCACACTCTTCTGTGTGCTCAATGAATGACTAGCATTTGAGTCGACCTCAAATTAGGTAGGAAATCAGGGTGCTGAGGAAGAGAAAAACAGTCTCCACAGGTTTTTGCTCATCCAATAAGCTGATGCCCGAAAATGTTTCGTTAGCCCTTCACGCAGCAGGAGCTCCAAATGCCCAACAGGTGATACTTGTTGTTGCCTGCTTAAGGCGCAGTGCAAACCGGTGTGATGAGTGAACCCATCGCGCATGAAATTGGTTGCTACAGCTCAAGCTGTTTGTAAGTTCTAATCGTTTCCTTCGGCCATGGGTCGTCTTGATGGCAAGGTAGCAGTCATCACTGGTGGCACGAGTGGCATAGGTCTTGAAACAGTGCGAATATTCGTTCAAGAGGGTTGCCGGGTCATCTTTTGCGGGCGTGGTGAGGAGATTGGAAAGCAGATTGCCAGCGAGCTTGGCGATGCCTGCGCCTTCATCAAGTGTGACGTTAATATGGAGGCAGAGATTAAGAACGTAATAGACAAAGCTGTCGAAAAATGGGGCAGGTTAGACATCCTTTTCAATAATGCCGGTGGGCCTGTTGGGCCTTTTCTGGTGGACCAGGTCAAGAAAGAGCATTTGGATGCCAACTTTGCGTTGAATTTCAATTCCATGGTCCTGGCAACGAAATATGCCTTACCTCATCTGACGAAGCAGTCAAGCTCCTCCATCATCAACAACAGCTCCATTGCTGCGAAAAAAGCGGGATTTGGGGATCCTCTCTATAGCGCCAGCAAAGGTGCCATGGATGCTTTCAGCCGAGTGGCCGCCATGCAGCTGGCACCCAAAGGTGTTCGGGTAAACTGCGTTTCGCCAGGTGCCACAGCAACGCCCATCTTCTGGAGTGGGTCGCCTGGCTCCGCGCGAGGAGCCAAACTCACCGCAGAGGAAAACGCCAAGAAGCAGCAGAAGGTCGAGGCCAACATCATCAACAATGTCTCGTCCCTCAGGATAGGACGTGCTGGCACCGGCGTTGACATTGCGCGGGCAGTGTGCTTCCTGGCATCTGATGAGAGCGTTTGGATCACGGGGCAAGACATTGTTATTGATGGCGGTATATCCACTTTTGATGCCCCAAACAAAGCCTGGATGGCAGATCCCAACCCGGTCGACCCAGTGACCTTGCGGCACAAGCTTTCCAAGCTATAGGCTGAATCATGCTTGCTGAAAAGGGCTTGAGGGCTTTCGCAGGCTCGGCAGCGAGGCAGCGATGCGGCCCGTGTCACAAGTCATTACGCCGAGGTGAAAGAAAGCAGAGCCCTTAGGGTCGTCCGAGCGTTGCTGAGGGCCAGCAGTCAGCTCAGATTGCATAAGGCTTCTAAGTTTTAGAGTTCTACGGGACAGTTGAATCCTGTGGGTTGTAGTTTTGAGCTGCCTCATAATTTGGCAAGCCAAGCTTGATTCACTTTCCAGCGTGCCGATACCAGTTCAGCATGTTACGCGTATTCTGAAATTGCTTTGCTTGATCAGAGAGCCACTGGTTCCCACAGCTGGAGGCGAGGGTGTATCGCAAGATGGATCCGCATGTGTATACTCTTGCACAAATCATGCAGCTCTGCAGCCTTCATAATATGGTCATTGGCGACTGAAACGTGAGATAGCAACATCTGCAATTGCTCTTCTTGAACAGCCAGGTTCTAGCAGATTCTGCAGGCAACTAAATTTGGCGGTTTGAATGCATGCTGCAATACAGTTCTGCACGGGCGAGCTGTGCAGAAGGCGCAATGCCCACTCGCATTCAAAACGTGAGACCGTGTGATTGTCTCTTGTCAGGTAAATGGCGAGCGGAACAAGTCTATTCTACCGTCTTTATCCCAAAGATGCATCCATTGAGGATAACACCGTGAACCCAGCAGCTCGATGGGCCAAAGTCGTGGCCCATGGCGGCAAGCTCAAGGAAGGTGAAGATGAAGATGGAGATCAGGACTGTTCACCTTCACGTCCAAGTACTCGACCAGAGGCTTGGTGTAAAGTGCATGCTTATTCAGGAGCAAATGCCGTCTGAATCGACAATGTCTGGTGCCCTCGCTGGTCTGGCCTTTTTGGAGGTGTGGCCTGTCAAGAGACCTCTCCTCAAGATGGCAATATCTGCCTATACCTGTATGGAAGGCGGAAGACAGAGCTGGCCAAGTGGAAGCCTCCCAAAAGAAACGTAAAGCGGAGGGAGACCCTTCGTAGCAAGGCGGCGGGTGCTTTGCATGTTCTCATGCTGCGCAATTTGTTAAAGAAGTTCTTGGCTGCAAGAGCTGCTTTTCTGCAGGTAGAGGATATCCCTGAACAACAGGCAGCAGTACGTTAGAAGCGTCGGCAGCTTTTTGGAAGCGCTTCCTCTGCCGATGAGGGTCATGATCTGCTGACGTATCGTTGCTCAAAAGAATGCAGGCATTCTAAACAAACTTGTTGATTGCAAGCCATGCTCAACGTTTGTTGCTGGCCATGGCTGATGTCTGGAATTTTTGCAGATACGGCTGCATAAGCAGGGGCTAGGATAGAGACCCAACTCCAAGTGCTGCTTCTCGCTGACCCTTGGATTTGCAGTTTTTCAAACACATGAGGAAGGTAGGCATGCTGAGCACATGGAGCCAGGCAGTCGCAGTAAGCTTAAAGCTCGACTTACGAAGAGGTGATCGTTTCCAGACTATATTAAGGCCAGATGGCTGGTTTGAGTTTTCAAAATCTTGGACGAACAGTGTGGACTTAGTACGCATCAATTCGGCATTAAACCTGTCCAAGCAAACAACCTGGCTGGGTGTGAAAACGGATGAACCCAGTGCAACATGCTGCGATTGAGCCACTGGATCATACGCTGGAGCCTCTAGCAATGCTGTGCATATTCACACATCCAGTTTTCTGGCAATTGAGGCAGCTGCAACGAATCAAGTCGCCGCCCGAGTTCGCAAGCAAAACTGACTGAACATGCTTTCTTGCACCCCCCTAGGCGACAGCTTCCAACGGGGACTGCTAAGTTGCGGGCATGTCTGCAGTCAGAGACTTAGTTTTCAGTGCTCAAATACACAACTGCTGCTGAAGTTGAAGCCTGGATGCACGCCAACTTAATAGCTCGATGCTGTGGAGGGCCTGAGGCTAGCGTGCTGTGGCTTTCAGAGCTAGAGAACAAGTGTCACGGCAGATATGCCCCATGATGATCTACTTCGCATGGATACACGTGCAGGGCAATGAGTACTGCTCCCACGTCTCAGTCGCAAAGCTGGACTGAGGTGCAGGCTCATCATGGCGAAGGCAACTCTCCACCGATCATGCAAAGCCGCCTTTTCTAGCAGTCAAGCAAGATAACAAGTGGCAAGTGTTGATACCAATTCTGTGTCATAATGATACCTCAGTACTGCAAACGTTATCGCGATAGCGGGCACACAGTTTCTGAAACACCTTGACTCTTGACCATGAAGCAGCTTGTGTACCGTGCGGTAGCCCCACCGCCAGGCCCAGTTTTTTGAGCTGGGATGCCCCAACTGCAGGGACAGCCTCGACATGCAGGATTGGGATACACCTTTGTTTTGGGTGTTATGTGATTGTGCAGCGGGGGGGCTGACTTTTGGGACGCAGCAAACATGTTCCTATGCGTTTCTGCGCAGCTTCCACGTGTCCGACAATAGCGTCTGGCCAGATAGCGGTCTGAGGAGAACGAAGCACGCGTGCTCGCTTGCACAACGGCTAACTACGCCGGCTTCTTCTCTTTGGTAAGGCCTTGGCAGGAGTGCATGCTGATCCAACCAACGGCACAGCTACAAGATGTGTATTTGGTGAGATCTGGAGCCTTCGCGTCCCGCTTCACTGGATTGGAGAGAAGGACGCCAGGCAGTGATCTATGGATCCTGGATCTTGTTTTTTGACATGCTGTCATGCTGAACCAGGCTGCTACGCACTTATTGTGCATGGTGGTTGCCCCAAAGTTTGTCAGATTCATATGCCCAGCTGGTAAGAGTTGCCATTCTTCGACCAGGAAGCTTACCGGAGATCAGTGTGGATGAGATGGATGAGTACGAGCATCTTGGCCAGTTTTTCCAGATGCTTTCCTTGCCTGGTTGTCAATGCTGAAGCTTCAGCATGCAAGGCCGGATGACTTGGAAGGTGCCATTTCCCTTTGACAAACATGGTAGTTTCCCAAAATGGGGGACCCCAATATAAAAACCCCCAAATACTATAATCCTTATTATGGGGACCCCCAAAATGGTACCCCCAATTTTGGGAAACCCCCACATCTTCCTGCCGGATGATCGCTGAGTGCTGGCTTGGGTTCTGGGTCGTTTGCAGGTGAGTTGAGAGGAGTCAGTCCTGGGCCGCCCAAAGGTGCGTGCCCTTCTCGTAGCAGGGCAACGGATGACCATCCTCCTTTTGGGATATAGTCCCCCTTAAGTAGATAGAATATGGCTTTGGGATGCTTTGGGTATATTTTAATACGATCCCCATATACCCCATATTCTATCTACTTAAGGGAGAGTAGACGCCTTTCCCAGGCGAGGTGTCTCAGCAAAGCCCCGGGGTTGCCAGCCCATCCATTTCGGAAGAGGACACAGCAAGAGCAAGATTCTGTATATGAGTAATTCCCAAGATGAGGGTCCCAGTTTGGTACTCCTAAATATTAGGTGCCGTAATATAGTCTATAGCCACAATGGGCCCATAATGTTGAGAACAACCCATGTAAACTCACCATGTACGCCTCCGCGTCTCAGGACTTTGACATTGACAAGCTCTTGGCATCGCCCATGGTCTTGTGCTTAGAAAACCTAACCCTAAACCCTAAACCCTAAAGCCTATATAACCCATTGTAGCAGTTTCCATTTTCTTTCCGTTATACCCATATAGTCCCAATATACTAAAGGCCAACAGCAAACCTCTCCTTGGGGTCTTCAGACGAAGTTTGCTGCGCAAGGCCTCTCCGGCCCCAGCCATGGGCCGCCGTGCGATAGTCTCAGCTTCTCACTAAGCCTGCCAAAAAACCAAATTCCTTCAAGCCTCAGGCTGGATCCACCTCTCCCAGTTTGCTGGAGAAGAAGGAAGAGGCTGCTGAATCAAAGTTGAAGTGAGATTGAAGAACGTGCAATACCTGTCCTGGCTTCGATTCAATTCAGCTGAGCCAGAGTTGTTCAATCATTGAAGGAAGCGCCGCGGAGGAAGCGGCTGCGGAAGGCATGCCAATTATTTTCTTCAGGCAAGCGCGCGCCGATTTGCAAAAAGGTTGCACCAGCGGCAGACTCTGTCAGTCCATCTTTGCAGAGTCCAAGCCAGAGCGGCGAGGCTGATGTGGGCTGGGACAGCTTTTGTTGCCTTTGCCTTCTCCAGTTGTAAGGCCGCTGAGGAAAAAAAAGAAGAAGGGTGAGCTGGGCCGAGCTCATTGCTGCAAAGTGTGGCTTCAGTACTTGAACGCCCAGATGCGAGCTCAAGTGAAGGCAGTCTTTTGCCTCCTTAGTCTTCGTGGGCAGTCTCACCTCTGTTAGCGTGCTGCCAAAGCGAGAGCCAGCCAGCTTTGAATGATTCAGCAGAACTCAACAGTGAAACGCTGCCCTGTCTTTCTTTGGCCAGCACCTTGAAAACGATATCAGCATCTAGTTGAAGCTAGCTGGGGTCTGCAGCCGGAACGCGGCCAAAAAGGCAGGCAAGATGGTGCAATGCCTGATTGCGTATTTCCGTTGTGACCTTTTTCTCAGCTGCGAAGGGTGCCGGGTAATCTCTCGCAAGGCCTTCTCCGAGGCTCCTTGTCATGGGCTCTCAACGCTGGGCGGAAACGTTCGTGCGAAACCTGCACAAGTCGACAAGCCTGCGAGTGGCGATCCCTTTGTGAGGCTTACGCGTCGGGCCGCGACGACCGACAACAGAGCTTATTTGGCCACCCACCTTCGTTGTGCAGCAGACCCGGCAATGCTGCAGCTGGCGCACGAGGGCGCAGCAGGGTTGCTTCCTCAACAGGAAACAAAGCAGCAGCAACAAGGTAACGGCCGCCATTGTAATCACATGGATGTTGTGCCTTGAATTTGGTACTGCAAGAGACGATAACGTGAAACAAGTAATTAGGATATTGCGCGCTCAGGGCGCTGGAGAGATTGTTTAATCTTCACGGGTTTCGCGTGCGTGTGAGCGAAAACACTGCGCACAGTGGCTTTTTTGAAGCGTGGTTTGGGTTTGTTCAGAAGGCTGATTCTTTGTCAACCTTTTTTTGGTGGCTGCTGTCAGGTTTCAAAGCTAATGCCCTAAAAGTTTACATAGGATGCTAGTAAGTATATGCTAGACTCGGTTTTGCGAGTATATACCAGTATATAAGATGTATAATAATATAGTGTCATACGTGAAAGGCTGGCGGCAGTGTGATGAGCCAGTTAATAATAGTGTATCAAGTGCAAACAAGGCATAATCAGTCCCCCCAATCCCACCATGCACTTTCCATCTTGAAATGCAGAGCGCTGCAACTTTGACAAAAAGGATGGGTTCAGAAATGCGCACCGTTAGCAACATCAGCAGCAGTAACAGCAGAAGCCACAACAACAACAACAACAACAACAGCAACAACAACAACAACAACAACAACAACAACAGGAGCAGCAGCAGCAACAGCAGCAACAACAACAGCAGCAGCAACCACAAAAACATCAACAGTGGCAACGACAAGGTCACTTTCGCGTAACGGACGGTGTGGTTTCCTGCACGTTGGAGCATGACAGAGTCTGCATCAGAAACAGTAAGTGATTCTAGAGAAAAAGAGAAAAAGTAGATGAACAGAGGCCTTGCGGGCTACTACTGCAAAACAAGGTAGCCAAAAAAGATGCGTCTGGGCATAGTCTATTGAGTCTACTAAAAGAAGTCTGGAGAAGAGGGTATCCCAAAAACAAGCCTTTGAGGCTAGCACTGGAAGATGGAAGAAAAACCCGCCTCCAATTTCGTGTATTCGAGAAAGGCCTCGCAGGGAGCTACTTGCACACAATATTTTGATAGATGCGTGGATTGCAGGTTTGAGGTTGAATGTTGGAGTGTTTGCGCATAGGGTGTAGACCGCAGTGTTCAGGCTGAAGGCTTAGGCTTTACGGCCGAATGCTGCTGAAATAGATGCTTAGCCTGGAACGGGCGTGAACACTGCATTGGCATCAGAATGTCCGCGCTGCTCGCTGCTGATTTACGGGCACGCCTGACGTGTCCAGTACTAGTACTACAGCCCACGCCATTCCGCGAGCGGTTTCGCGAGTCTCCTCTGAACTCTCTACATCTTCTCTTATGATGGTGTCGGAGATGCTTCAATGTGATCAACATAACAGGTGGTGCATGTTGCAGCATGAAAGCAACGAAAAGTGGCATTTCGGCTTGCTTTTGGTGATGGACTTAAAATTACGCCTCAGCCTCATGCATGGATGCTCTGCCAAACGGATGCTCGTGAAGCTGGGCTCGTATTTTGTTTATGGATGGTCTGGAAATCGAAGGCTCTCGGTGATAGACTTAATCATAATGACATGGATGCTCTAGCAAGCGGATGCTCTTGGTGATGGAGGTAGTTATTGTTTTGGCATGGATGCTTTGGAAATGGGATGCTCTCCAGGATGAACTTGATCATGATTTTGACATGGATGCTCTGGTAAGCGGATGCTCTTGGTGATGGACGTGGTCATTGTTTTGGAATGGATGCTTTGAAAATTGGATGCTCTTGATGATGGACTTAATCATTATTTTGACATGGAGGCTCTAGTAAGCGGATGCTCTTGGTGATGGACTTGGTCATTATTTTGGCATAGATGCTTTGAAAATGGGATGCTCTTGATGATGGACTTAATCATTATTTTGACATGGATGCTCTAGTAAGCGGATGCTTTTGGTGATGGACGTAGTCACTGTTATGGCATGGATGTTCTGCGAATCCGAAGCTCTTGGTGATGGCAGTAATCATTATTTGGTATCGAGAAATTGAAAGTGAAATGCCGACACTTGGTGCATGGATGCTCTAGCAAGCGCATGCTCTCTGTGACGGACGTATGTACTGTTTTGGCATAGATGCTGGATGCTCTGGGAAGCGGATTCTCTTGGTCATGGGGTTAACTATTCTTTTGGCATGGATGCTCTAGTAATCAGACCTTCTCAGAATTTCTCTTTTTTCATGGATCCTCTGGGAAGTGGATACTCTAGGAGATGGACCTCATTATCGTTTTGGTATGGTGATGGACGTGATGGTCGTTTTGGTATGGCTGAGAATCGCATAGTCTCAATGATGGACATGTTGCTCATTTTGGCATGAATGGTCGGGGCGTCTGATGCTCCTGATGATGGGCCTGCCTGCGATTTTGGTAACATACCAACTTCGGGGTAATTTGGACATTTTTCAGCTGCAAATGCTCGCAGAAGAACAGCTATGTGAAAGCTGCTGGCATCTTGTTGGCCTTCTCTGGCCATGGCTTCTTGGCTCCCTTTGCGGCGGTGTTTGTTTTCTTCTCTTTCTGGTTCTTCTTCGCTTTCATGGCTGTTGGCCACTTCGGAGCTCTCATCGCCTTAATGGCCTATAAACTCCCTGGAGTAGACGCCGCTCTTGGAGACATCGCCTGTCTGAAATTGCCGCGCGTAGGAGCTGGGTCAAAAGTGCTGCCAAACGCAGCTGGCGAGGTAGTAGCCGTCGAGGGCGGGGAAGATGATGTGCGCATCCTTGGCACCAGCAGCCTAAGCCCGGAGGCTCTAACCGATGCAATCGCTGGCCGTAGCAGCATCTCCGTATCACGTGCAAAATCAGGCGGCAAGAAAGGTAAATGCCTGAGACGTTTTTGGGTTCAAAGTGAGGACCTTTCGATGGATTAGTATTGTGAGATTGGTGCTTGCACTGCAGTCTCCCGTCGCGAGGCACATACAATCATTTGTGCGTGTTGCGCTTTATGGTTCGTTTGATTCCCCGATCTATGCTCTTGCTGCGACAGCCCGCCTGGACAGTACCGTGTGATGCTGTGTGCGTGTGAAATCCGAGGGACAAGGGAACTCATTCACTCAAAGCTTCGCGTACAGTGACACATGGGCATGTATGGTGCCAGTTGTCAAACACCAAAGCGAAAACCAACCTCTCGTTTCCAGTCGGAAATGAAGAGCGACCACAGCATATCCAAAGCGGCACCACCCCCCGCATCTTTACAGCGAGTTTAAGAACCTCGGAGTTCCAAAGCTTTCTCGGCCGTCCCTGTTTACGTGGGCTGTTTGTTTCATTTTTCAATTTGTTGGACACATCCCGAGACACACATGCTCGCATGAAATGTCAACTTCGCAAGGCTTGTGTGTTGAGCCAACCCGAATGCAGACCATGCAACAGGTTTGACGCAATGCAAGCATCAAATACCCTTGCCTTGTGCCGCGCTGGAAGGGGCAGACTGGCTTTGTCAAAGCAGCGTCATGACAACGTTCAATTGCACAAAATCAAAAGCCATCTGAATGCGGATGATTTGTCTTGCAGTAGTCCTATGAAGATCGATTGGAACGGTTTGGAAGCCCAGAAGTTGAGAAATTAGCAGATTCCAGAGCTAAGGAGTCGAGCTGGCCAAAGGGCATTCGGGGTGACGTCCTTCAATGGGTTGATCAGCGATTGGCTGACGTGTTAGCTTGGTTGCACCAAGCTGTGCACTTGCACCAATGGATTCGCCATGACCAGAAAATGCCGTGGAACTCATTCACTCATTCACTCACACACTCACTCACTCACTCTCTCGAAGCTATCGGAGTGTCCACAGTTCACGTTGAGCAGAGGGCTCATTTAGACCTT